AGTCAAATATATGAACAATTGAATATATATACATATATGAGTAATTAAGGTACCAGAAGAAGCAGGGAGGACAGAGATTATGAATAAATTAGGTAGAAAATATATTTCTTTCTCTCTTTTTTTTCTTCTTCTTTTTTGAGACAGAGTCCCTCTCTGTTACCCAGCTGGAGTGTAGAGGGCAGTAGTGTGATCTCGGCCAACTGCAAGCCCCGCCTCCCAAATTCAAGTGATTCTCCTGCCTCAGGCCCAAGTAGCTGGGATTACAAACTCCCATCACAACGCCCAGTTAATTTTTGTATTTTTAGTAGAGACAGGGTTTCATTGTGTTGGCCAGACTGGTCTTGAACTCCTGACCTCAAGTGACCTGCCCACCTCAGCCTCCCAAAGTGCTGCGATTACAGGCCTGAGAAACCATGCCTGGCCAGAAAAAAATATTTCAAGAAATTATAGTAGTAAATTTCTCTATTCAGTAAAAAGGAATTTACAAATTCAAAAAGTTCAGCGGCCAGGCGCGGTGGCTCAAGCCGGTAATCCCAGCACTTTGGGAGGCCGAGGTGGGTGGATCACGAGGTCAAGAGATGGAGACGATCCTGGTCAACATGGTGAAACCCCGTCTCTACTAAAAAAAATACAAAAAGTTAGCTGGGCATGGTGGTGCATGCCTGTAATCCCAGCTACTCAGGAGGTTGAGGCAGGAGAATTGCCTGAACCCAGGAGGCGGAGGTTGCGGTGAGCCGAGACCGTGCCATTGCACTCCAGCCTGGGTAACAAGAGTGAAACTCCGTCTCAAAAAAAAAAAAAAAAACACACCTCAGCAAGCCTCAAACAGCGTAACTATGAAGGGGATCATGACTAGACAAACCATAATTAAACTGCTAGAAACCAAAGACAGAAAATCCTGAAAGTACTCAGGAAAAACAGCATATCGTATGCAGGGAAATCACTTTAACAACCACAGAGTTCTCAATGAAACCGCAGATGATAGTGGAACATCTTCAGGCAATGAAAAGAAAAAAAGCTGTTGAACCAAAATTTCATATCCAACAAAAAAGTCCTTCAAGAATGACAATGAAATAAGGACATTTTCAGATAAAGGAAAACAAAGGTAATTTATTACTACCAGACTCATACTATAAGAAACGTTAAGGGAAATTCTTTAAGGAAATGATACCAAAGAGGAAAAAGATGGCATCACCATGGAGAAATCATGAGTTCAGGGAGGAAGTTGTGGGTTCAGTTTTTGACATGTTGAATCTGAAGTACTTGCAGAGAGGTTAAGGCTAGGAATATAGATCTGGGTCAACTCAAGTAGAGTGAAAAACAAAACTAGTACAGATGAAACTGTCCAAGAAGGTATAGGTTGAAAGCAAAACAAAGACCAAACATCAAATCCTGGGTCTTGATAACACTTCAAGCTAGGTAAAAGCAACTATGAAAGAATAAAGAGAAAGACAAAGAAAAACCAGAAAAGAGTGGTCTATCATAGATTCTAAGAAAATAATTTCATTGAAATTTTATCAATGGCCTAAAGTATAACATATTATACAAGCAGAAGAAAAGATCTGGAAAGTTTCAGGATTTCTGATAATTAGATATGTTAACTTTAGCAAGAGTGATTTCATGAAGAGGACTACTTTGAAAAGTAGATTAAACTAAATTAGAGAAGATAGAAAATATGCAACAGTAACAACTAAAAGACAACATGAGGTTAAGATATTTGGGAAAATAGGTCACATTCTTGAGTCTTTCCTGAGAAGAATCGGACAATAGAGAGGGAGAGCTTGAAGATACAGGAGCCATAGGGATACATGTAATGGCAGAAGGTCTTGGGGAGGATCAAGAATGTTTCTTAATTTTAGCTGCACATTGGAACCCCTTGAGGAACTTTTAAAAAAATGCCTGGCCACTTCTAAGACATTTTCATTTAATTAAAACTTGAGAATGAAGAATGAGAAAGAAGTTGCAAATTTAAGTTTGTAGGAGAAGAAATAGAAATACATTTATAATCAATTTTAATTATCTCCCAAAAGTTCTAATACCTGCCCTTTTGCCACACAAAGCACTTATCTAGTTCATTTTCTTTGCTTTTAGGTGGCAGATATTTAGGGAAGGTGAATTCCATTAGTATGACTATGTCCAGTTAGGATTATTTACATCCTGCCCATGTAGGGTGGAAAGAACTGGACCCATGATCTTTTCTACCAAGCTATCTACCAAAAAAACCCAGAAAACACTAAGCGTTTATATGGTTCTCTGACTGATTGCTTATAGACTCATCGATTGACTTAATTTATTTTGAGATTGGGTCTAACTCTTTCGCCCAGGCTAGAGTGCAGTGGCACAATCATAACTCAATACAGCCTCGAACTCCTGGGCTCAAGTGATCCTCCCATCTCAGACTCTGAAGTAGCTGGGACTACAGGTGCATACCACTGTACCAAGCTAATTTTTAATTTTTTTAGATATAGGGTCTCACTGCGTTACCCAGGCTAGTCTCAAACACCTGGCCATAAGCAATCTTCCTACCTCAGCCTCTCAAGTTGCTGGTATTATAGGGGTGAGCCACTATAATAAGCTCAGATTTAAAAAAAAGCATTCGTATTTCACCTCACTTTTATGTCTACAATATTTTTGTGACCTAAATAGAATAGGTATGTATCTCATTAAATTAGGAAAAGAAGGCCCAAGAAGGTGAAATCACTATGCCCAAGAGTCCAGAATGAAACAAAGGACTTCCATACTTAGTTGCAGAGGGCTTATGGCTGATGGAGTGAGTGGAGCTAATATCTATTCCGTTTACCAAAAACAAACCACAGTGCTTGGGAATAGTATCCGATCAGACTAATTCACATTAGAGCACCTATGGACTACTGAAAGTCATAAAAAAAGCCACCTGCCCCAATTTCTAACTCAGTGCCTTTCCTTCTAGATCTCATTTTCTTGAGATAGGCTGATTCACACGCAGAGTTGTAAAAATTAAGCAAAAGGACCAAAAGATATGATGTTTTCCATTACTCTTTAGTTAGGTAAATTTTCATTATCTTAAATTATTTTTACAAACTCAGAGTGAACTCTGACACAGGAATGTAGTAAACTAGATCACAAGGAAACCTACTTTTATACTTAAATATATTAATAAAAAGTTACGCAGAAATTAAAAAAAACCATGCCACATTTCCCCTTCAAGGTTCTAGTTTCAACTGCAACCAGAGTAGATTAAAACTGACTTTCTTAAAAGTCCAAGCCAAGCTGGGCATGGTGGCTCATGCCTATAACCACAGTACTTTGGGAAGCCAAGGTGGAAGATCACTTGATGTTAGGAGTTTTAGACCAACCTGGCCAAGGTGGTGAAACACTGTCTCTACTAAAAAGACTATTTGCTGGGCGTGGTGGTGTGTGCCTATAATCCAAGTTACTTGGGTGGCTGAGGCATGAGAATTGGTTGAACCTGGGAGGTGGAGGTTGCAGTGAGCTGTCAAGCCACTGCATTCCAGCCTGGGCAAAAGAGTGAGACTTTGTCTCAACAACAACAACAACAACAAAATCCAAACCGGCTTAACCTCCTGAATGAGGTGAATAAATGAAAATACTGCTTTATAAAACAGAGTGACAACGGAGATATTCAGTGATAAAGGAGATTATAATGTCTGCCACTATTATTCAGAGATTACAGTCAGATTAATTCAGACTCCTTTGCGATAAATGTTTGTTGGTCCATTTAAAAAAATTATTTAGTAAGAAACAAATGGAAGGAGAAAAAAGAAAAATAGAAATGAAGAGCTCATTCAGATAACACTGATATGTTTTTCCCTAGCTGCTACAGTATTATTCGTTATATCACTCTTGAAATCTTTCTTGTCCATTGTAACAGTAAAATAAACACAGGAAAAGCAATTTTAAGTAATAGTTGAAAACATACTAGAAAATTAGGGCATTTAAACCAAATACATAAGTTTTTAGGCAGAAAATCACGTTCAGTTTATCAGCCTTATAGCTCATTTAGATTTTAAGAGTAGAGTTAAAGTAACTCTGGGCCAGGCGCGGTGGCTCATGCCTGTAATCCCAGCACTTTGGGAGGCCGAGGCGGGTGGATCACGAGGTCAACAGATCAAGACCATCCTGACCAACATGGTGAAACCCTGTCTCTACTAAAAATACAAAAAAATTAGCTGGGCATGATGGCACGCGCCTATAGTCCCAGCTACTTGGGAGGCTGAGGCAGGAGAATTGCTTGAACTCAGCAGGCAGAGGGTGCAGTGAGCTGAGATCGTGCCACTGCACTCCAGCCTGGTGCCTGGCGATGTAGTGAGACTCTATCTCAAAAAAAAAAAAAAAAAAAGTAACTCTGTTTTACAAATAGAGTAAATGAATGCCCAGTGCAAGGTTTTAACCTCAATGAGTAATCAAACTAACAGCGGTATTGCAGCTATTTATAAAGTTTTACCTTATGTGCAAAATTATAGAAAAACTTACTAAAGACTCTTGACTTTTAGGGACAAGCCAGAGATAATGTCCAGAGAGTGAGCCTAAAACCAATTTAATGTTATTACAGTTTTCAGTCATATTAGAATATTCATCATCTGGCTGGGTGCAGTGGCTCATGCCTATAATCCAAGCACTACAGGGGGCTGAGGCAGGTGGTTGCCTGAACTCAGGAGTTCTAGAACAGCCTGGCCAATATGGTGAAACTCTTTCTCTACTAAAAATAAAAAAAATTAGCTGAGCATGGTGGTATGTGCTTGTAGTTCCAGCTACTCTGGAGGCTGAGGCAGGAGAATCACTTGAACGCAGGAGGCAGTGGAGGAAGCAGTGGGCCGAGATAGCACGACTGCACTCCAGCCAGGGCAACAAAACGAAACTGTCTCCAAAAAAAGAATCTTAATCATTTATGGAGGTAAAGTAATAACTTTGATAAGGGAAAGTGTAGAAACCATTATAGCTTCTTATCTCCCCACTGTAAAGAAGGTCAAGGAGATGAAAGAGGATTAGCACAAACTTACCTTTCTCAAACTTAGAAAAGGCAACTGACTTGAGACTGCACTGATGACCTTTGCACGTTCCAATCAGCTCACCAGCTTTTACGTCCCAAAATTTGGCTGTCTGATCACCTGCTGCCGTAACCTTTCAAAAATAAGGTAAGCACAACTTAATAAAGCAATCCCTTATCAGTATTTACCCAGATCCTAATGAAATAAAAGCCACTTACAAGTTTAAGTTCACCAGGGACCCAGGCCAGGTCAAAGACAGCATTCCAGTGAGCCATCCATTCTAAACAAAGAAAATGGTAAATGTGAAATGTCTAAACTGTAATTTTTGGCTGCCATATCAGTAGTAGTTTAAATGCCTGGAAAGATGTAGTAGTAAAAAGATCAGTAGTCAATCATTTGAAAAATGCAAATCAAAACCACGATGAGATACCATCTCATGCCAGTCAGAATGGTGATTATCAAAAAGTCAAGAAACAACAGATGCAGGCAAGGCTGCACAGAAATAGGAACACGTTTACACTGTTGTTGGGAATGTAAATTAATTCAACGATGTGGAAGACAGTGTGGTGATTCTTCAAAGACCTAGAACCAGAAATACCATTTCACCCAGTAATCCCTGGGTACATACCCCGCAAAATAGAAATCATCTATTATAAAGGTACATGCATGCATATGTTCACTGCAGCACTATTCACAATAGCAAAGACATGGAATCAACCCAAATGCCCATCAATGATAGACTGGATAAAGGAAATGTGGTACATATACACCATGGAATATAATGCAGCCATAAAAAAGAGGTATCAGAGATCATGTCCTTTGCAGGGACATGGATGGAGCTGGAAGTCACTATCCTCAGCAAACTCACGCACAAACAGAAAAACCAAACACTGCATGTTCTCACTCATAAGTGGGAGCTGAACAACGAGAGCAGGTGGACACAGGGAGGGGAACGACACATATTGGGGCCTGTTGAGGGGGAGCAGAGGGAGGGAGAACATCAGAAAAAATAGCTAATGCATGCTGGGCTTAATACCTAGGTGATGGGTTGATATGTGCAGCAAACCACCACAGCACATGTTTACCTATGTAACAAACCTGCACATCCTGCACATGTACCCTGGAACTTAAAATAATAAAAATAAATAAAGATGCACACATAAAAAAGCAGTAGTCAACACCCTAGGGTGCATGAGCCAAAGAGAATTTGTGGACTCAGACATTACACATTCCCTTAATTACCACATGAGAATTACTACCATCTGATGTCAAATTTCTTTCCATAAGTTCATTAGTAATATATTCTCTAAAATAAAATCTATCTGAAACACATTCCAGTTCAAAAATCTTCAAGATGCTGGCTGGGCACAGTGGCTCACACCTGTAGTCTCAGCACTTTGGGAGGCTGAGGCAGGCAGATCACTTGAGGCCAGGGGTTCGAAACCAGCCAGGGGTTCGAAACCAGCCTGGCCACATGGTGAAACCCCTCTCTACCAAAAATACAAAAACAAAAACAAACAAAAAACAAAAACAACTTCATATGCTCTCTGAATGGAATGTAAAATACTTCGGTTTGATATTCAAATTTCTGCTTGCTTTAGCCTTTATCTTGGTTGCAAGCCTCATCGCTCACTGTTGTAGATATATCTTATTCCAATCAAACTGGTCACTTCCTATTTTATTATATCCTATGCCTTTTCTATCTCTAGACCTTTGTTAATGCTTTTCCCTCCACCTGGAGTGCCCTCTTCCATTTCCACTGGTCTAAACTCAAATGGGGGATTTGACACCTATGTGTTTTCTTTCTACTTCTACATCATTTGGTCTACTTCTACATCATTTTAGTTATTTCAACACTTGATTTATAGGTTCCAAATTATCAGCTTCTTAAGGTTAGTAGAACTTTGCTTTATAGATGTAAAATGCTTGATCAATATAAAATTTGAGTAAAGGCATTGTCACAGTTAACAGTTATTGATAGATAGGCAGTCTACCATTTACATCTAACCTGGTCCCTAAAAAGACTTAATCAGAAGTTAACATCATTGGGAATGCGTTATAGTTTAGATGTTTGTCACCTCCAAATCTCATGTTACAATTTAATCCCCAAAGCTGGAGGTGGGACCTAATGGTTGGAGGCATTTGGGTCATGGAGGTGGATCCCTCATGAACAGATTAATGCCCTCCCTAAGAGGTGGGCAGACGAGTGAGTTCTCACTCTGTTAGTTCCCTGGAGATCTGGTTGTTAAAAAAGGGCTTGGCATCACCTCCCTTCTCTTGCCATGTGACCTCTATATTTATGGGCTCCTCTTTGGAGCCCATATTTTAATATTTTAAATATTTTTTAATTTAAATTTAAAATATTAAAACAAAAATTGTAGACCTAGACTTACCTTTGAAGCACTTCTTTCTGAAAGTTTGTGATTCAGTGTTATACAATCGAACAAAGCCTTCTTCATTGGCAACTGCTAGGATGTGTTCCATATTGGGAGCTAAATCAGAAATAAAGAATAAAATATATACAGTAACAAAAACATTTTAAAGTTTACTCAAAAACCACCAAAATTATCTTCATATAATCTCTTATTTAGAGAAGGGCTAAATCGAGGGTAGTACTTAAAACGAGAGTGGTACTGGCCAATACTGTAAACAAAGGCAGATGATATGTAGGCTGCCAGCAGGCTGAGTCTATTAGTTTCATTTCTTATTATATTTTTATTAATTTTTACCACAATCATGACTACATTAAGAGTCTATTAGATTTGTTTGTTTTTGAGACAGTCTCGCTCTGCCACCTAGGCTGGAATGCAGTGGCATGATCTTGGCTCACTGCAACCTCCACCTCCCAGGTACAAGTGATTCTCTTGCCTTACCCTCCCTAGTAGCTGGGACTACAGGCATGCACCACTATGCCTGGCTAATTTTTGTAAGCAGTCTGTTAGCTTGAAATTTCCTTTTCACAACTTTTTCTCTTTCCTCTCAAACTATTATGGGTGAAGACAAGCACTTCTATTTCTTTTTTTTTTTTTGGAGATGAAGTCTTGCTCTGTTGCCCAGGCTAGAGTGTAATGGCATAGTCTTGGCTCACTGTATTCAAGCAATTCTCCTGTATCAGCCTCCCAGATTCAAGCAATTTTCCTGTCTCAGGCTCCTGAGTAGCTGGGATTATAGGTGTGCACCACCACACCCAGCTCATTTTTAGTAATTTTAGTAGAGACAGGGTTTCACCACGTTGATCAGGCTGGCCTTCAACTCCTGACCTCAAGTGCTCCACCTGCCTTGGCCTTCCAAAGTACTGGGTAAGTCAAGTGTAGGTCACTGTGCCTGGACCTGCCTTGGCCTTCCAAAGTGCTGGGATTACAGGTGTGAGCCACTGTGCCCAGCTGAAGTACTTCCATTTCTGTTCATATATTCCCCAATGAGTCACAGAAAGATACATTCAACCAGATCAAAGGGTATGTATCTACTGGGTAAAACAATTTCATAGTAGCTGAACCTTTGCAACCTTTTCCTTATTATCACTTTTTTAAAAATGGTGCTATAAGAGTCTATGCTTCAGAGGAAATATACAGTTATGCTAATGATGTATAGAGATTAAGTCTATTTTATAAATCAGAAGACAATAGTCTTTAAAAAAAAAAAACTCTTAACATCTACCTAATTTACTTTTCTTTGAAAGGGAAATACTACAGTATATTTTCCCTGTAAGTGTGAAATAGATGATTTCTGTCCAAGCTTTGCCTAGACAGTAATTCTCTTACCAGAAGAGAAGGTACATCCAAAAGGAGGAACTGGGACTCCTGTTTCTCCATAAGAAGTGTGTTCATCATTACCACTGCACTGATAACCAGCCAGAAGGGATTGTAGAGGGTATTGTGAAGACCATCCTAAAACAAGACAATTCCTTATAGAATTCCAATAGAGCATTACATTTCAGCATTTTTAATAAATGCGAGGTAAATCTTTGTTCTTAAGAAACTTTAGATATTAACACAGATCCACTTACTACTAATATCTATGGAAGAATCAGTTCCTGTTGTTTTCTTAAGGAATCCTAAGGAACAAACGAAAGAACACTTCCTACTTCTGGGGAGGTATGGCTTTGGGCTTACTATCTTAAATGGAGACTCTCACTAGTTCATTGAGATAAGAATAAACAAGAGGCCTTTGCATATTAAGATCTTCTCCATTCTCCTAAGAGACTACCACAAAAGCATTCTATTAAAACTGCCATTCCCTTCCATTAAATCCTTACTATGTTTTTGGAGTGACTAAATCAACAACATTACTATAAACTCTTAAGTTACTTGGAACATCATACAAAATCCAATGGTCAAAAAGACAAAGAAAATAATATGTCAATGCACCTACTACAGCCAGTAACGTATTCACTCATACTAAGGTTAGTTCCTTTTTCCTTTAGTGCTGAAATTGCAGGACTCTAAAATGTTAATAGCAACAATCATAGTATCTTGGTACTGACCCCTAGAAAACATTTAGTTAGCCCTGGCTAGCGGTAATGGGTCAGGGAAGTCTTTACAGGAGGTCTTGAATGATGGGTAAATTTTCACTGAAGTTAGAACATAGAACAGGAAATTCGGAATAGAAGAAAAGTTTATTAGGCCGGGCGCGGTGGCTCAAGCCTGTAATCCCAGCACTTTGGGAGGCCGAGGCGGGCGGATCACGAGGTCAAGAGATCGAGACCATCCTGGTCAACATGGTGAAACCCCGTCTCTACTAAAAATACAAAAAATTAGCTGGGCATGGTGGCGTGTGCCTGTAATCCCAGCTACTCAGGAGGCTGAGGCAGGAGAATTGCCTGAACCCAGGAGGCGGAGGTTGCGGTGAGCCGAGATCGCGCCATTGCACTCCAGCCTGGGTAACAAGAGCGAAACTCCGTCTCCAAAAAAAAAAAAAAAAAAGTTTATTCTGCTTGGGTCAGAGACCAATGTGCACTACGGTCCCACATAGTAAGACATCTTCAGAGATTTGTTTTTATCATACTGATTTGTGGTTAACACATTTTAAATATATAAAAGAAACATTCATTCAACAAGTAATTACTGAAAATCAAATGTTCATTAAGCATTGGAGGAAACGCTGAGTTTACAATATATTAAAATCATCTTAAATAATTGACAAACCGAATTTTAGGATACTTTGAATTCTCACTTTTCTTCAAAAGTTCTATATGGGGAATACATCTTAACCTGACTTAACTTCAAACAAATCTACATTTGGATGTCCACCCAGACATAACCTGAAATAATCAGTAGAAGGGCAGCAACGAAATTTAATCCAAATTTAATAATTAGTTCTGAGGGCATTATGTCATAATTTCAATATCATATATCATTGTAAAAGAGCTGTAAAGACAACTGAAAGAATGCGATGATTAGTCATGTTGAGTTCACCGAAGTATCCATCTACAGAATAAATGTGAAAAAACAAAAGCCTCTGTTCAAAGGTTATGTAAATACACATTTGTGTTTTGGAATTTTTTAAAAAAATCAACTGCAAAATACAAACTCAAAAAGGACTTTTAAACAACTTGGTTGAAATGAAGATGATACACTCTGAAAAACATATAATTTTTTTAGAATTAAACAATGACTCTTTAACTCTGGCTTATTGACTACAATTAACATCCCAATTGTTAATGGTGATGTGATTAGTCCTTGCCTACCCCTCCACTTCTGCAATCCCTGCAATACATATTTCACTGATGAACCACCCTAAGCTATTTCCGGATTCTTACCGTGTTATGACCATGAAAGCATAATGCTTTCTTCCACAACACATTTGGAAAAGGCTATTATTTCCTTATTGTACAACTTAAGCCCCTGGAGATACATGCAGATATTCCAAGTAGTATACAATAACATAAGAGTTTTCAGAGTCTCAATTTCCAGATACAGTAGTCACCCCTTATCCATGGTTTCGCTTTCCGTGGTTTTAGTTACCTATGGTCAACGATAGTCTGAAACTATTAAATTGAAAATTCCAGAAATTAAACAATTCATAAGTTTTAAATTGTGTGCCATTTTGAGTAGCAAGAAAATCTCACACTGCCCTACCCTGACCTGTCCAGGATATGAATCATACCTGTGTCCAGAGCATCCACGCCATATACATTACCTGCTCTTTAGTCATTTACCTGCTTTGTATGCCACAAAGTTGGAAGGTTGGCAGTAGCCTAATGTTATATCACAGTCCCTCCCTAGATCATTCACCTCACTTCATCTCATCATGCAGGTATTATGTCATCTCACATCATCACAAGGGTAAGCATAGTACAATGAGATATTCCAAGAGGCCACCTTCACATAACTTTTACTATAGAATATTGTTAAAATTGTTCTACTTTATTCTTAGTTATTGTTCATCTCTTACTGTGCCTAATTAAACTTAATCATAGGTAAATGTCTGTATAGCAAAAAACACGGCATACATAGGGTTAGGTCTTGGAACATATCCTTCAAAGGAGGTACCACTGTACTCAACTTCAATATACAGTCATATACCATGTAATGGCATTTTGGCCAAAGACAGACCGCATACACAATAGTAGTCTTACAAGATTGTAATGGAGCTTAAAAATTCCTATTGTGTCTTAGTTTTTAACAAAAGGTTCAAAAAATTAAGAAAAACGAAAAAACTAAAAATAAAAAAGCTTACAGAGTAAGAAAATAAAGAAATAAAGTATTCTGTACAATTATACAACGTGTCTGTGCTTTATGCTACCTGTTACCACAAGGGCCAAAAAGTTTTAATATTTAAAATGTTTGTAAATTTAAAAGTTATAATAAGCTAAGGTTATTATTGAAGAAAATATTTTTAATCAATTTAATGCAGCCTAAGTGTAGATTGTTTATAATGTCTACAGTAGTATAACATCCCCGGTCTTCACGTTGACTGATCACTCACTCACTGATTGACCCAGAGCAACCTCCAGTCCTGTGAGCTCCCATTCACCATTCATAGTAAGCACCCTCCACAGGTGTACCATTTTTTTTTTTATCTTTTGTATCATATCTTCACTGCACCTTTTCTATGTTTAGATACACAAACCATTGTGTTACAGTCGCCTACAGTATTTGATACAATAATATGCCGTACAGGTTTATAGCCTAAGAAAAATAAACTATATAGCTTAGGTATACAGTAGGTTACATTACCTAGCTTTGTGTTAAGTACACTCTGTGATGTTTGTACAATGATAAAATCACCTAATGATGCATTTCTCAGAATGTATCTCCATTTATAAGCAATTGGATGACTACATACACATTTCCAAAACTCACCTGTCTGAAAAACCTGATGTCTTTCAGGAGATTGAGGTATCCTTTTTTCCCTTCCTTTCATTACTTCCTTTTTTCTACTTTACAAAAGAAAGACATTCCCATGGCCCAATCTTAAAAACCTTGCATTGATCCAAAGTATAAAAACTTTTCAGTGCCAAAATATTTTTAAATAAAAATATTTTATTTAAATAATATATTAAATAATGTTTTAAATAAACTTCTGGAAACTTAACTAAGAGATAATACTTCCTTCAGTAAAGGAACCATAAACACCCAAATTCATCTCTGTAAAAGATGTCCTTCCAAAAAAGTTTTACTTTTGGTTAATAATAATCAAAATTGGTAATCTATATTGTTTCAATCAATCATATAGTACTAATAATTATATTGAAAATTCAATCCATAATGAAGTTTTAACACTTGGAGGCTTCTGATAGGAAACAGCAATTTAAATACATTTTTTGACACGGGTATGATAGTGATTAGTAAAAGAGCTTTTCAAGCATAAAATTAAATTACATTAGGAGAAATTCTGTGGGAGAAATGAAATGGAAATAAATTCAAGAGGAAAAAGCAGCTACCTGGAATGTCTAGCAGTTAAAGAGGAGATTTATTTTTCTAAAAAATGGATGATGTGATTATCAAATCACTATAGTATTTACGTTATATTAGATACACTTAGAAGAGTGATACAGGATTTTTATTTTAAAATGTCAATATTCCCAATATGGTCAGAAATTACATTCTTTCCATTTTTTTTTTTTTTGAGACAGAGTTTTGCTCTTGTTACCCAGGCTGGAATGCAATGGCGCAATCTTGGCTCACCACAACCTCCGCCTCCTGGGTTCAGGCAATTCTCCTGCCTCAGCCTCCTGAGTAGCTGGGATTACAGGCACGTGCCACGATGCCCAGCTAATTTTTTGTATTTTTAGTAGAGACGGGGTTTCACCATGTTGACCAGGATGGTCTCGATCTCTTGACCTCGTGATCCACCCGCCTCAGCCTCCCAAAGTGCTGGGATTACAGGCGTGAGCCACCGCGCCCGGCCACTCTGCGTTTTTAAAAATTTATGCTAAAAGCTTTTAGATATCAATTTAAAAATACACAGGAGAGTAATCAGATTTCCATTTTAGAAGAATCATTAGCAGCAATATGGAGAATAAACTGTAGAGGGAGAAACTAAGAGGCCATTTGGGAGACTTCTTACAAACCAGACAAGGTATTAGGGCCTAACCTAGGCGAATGGAATAGTAAAAATAGAACACATCCAAGACACAGTAAAGATGCAGAATCAGAATAGATAGGAGAGGATGGACTCCAGGGAATTTAAGGAAATGTTCTCAATGTATATCTATGAAGAAGATGAAGAAGTTTTTAATTGACTCAGGTTTCCGGCTGGGAAAACTGGTTTAAATAATGAAGCCACTCCCTAAAATGGTAATATACCAGGTTTAGGGAAAAAAATGAGTTCAGTTTTGGGCATTTGAGTTTGAGATGCTTGTGGGACTGACCATCTGGATGAAAAATCAACCCTCTCAGATTTTATAAAAATGAATCTCAAGCACAGGAAATCTTCCAATAACATCATTTTGTACAATATCATTTCCTCATACTGTTCATGAGAAAAATATCAATTCCTGTTTGAGGCCACTGGCTATATGGAGTTTGCACATGTTCTCCCCATGTTCACAGGGGTTTTCTCCAGGTACTCTGATTTCCTCCCACATGACAAAGATGTGTATATTAGGTTCAATGGCATGACTACGTGGTCCCAGTAGACATGGTTGTGTGTGAGGGCTTCTTGTGATGAAATAGTGGCTGGTCCAGAGCTGGTTTCCACCTTGCACCATGAGCTGCCAGGGTAGGCTTTAGGCACCCACAGGCCTGAAGTGGAATTAAGTGTGTCAGAAAATAAATGAATACAAATAACTGTAAAGTAAAAGTTTGTAAACTCTACGATAATCATAGTAATGAATGATAGTATGAATGAATGATAGTAATGAATGATAATAAACAATTTGGTATGACAGGGCTCAGTGAGCTGCCATATTTGTGACTGTTTTTGAACTGGGTGGTGGTAGGAGGTACTCCTTTCAATTTTCACTTTTCAAATATTTGTTCCTTGATTTAGCCCACCACCATTATGACCGAGTGATGCACCAAAACTTGGGTAAATAACTATCTCATTTGTTTTTATTAATCTTTCTCAAATGTATGTATAGCACAATTATTTCAATATTTAATATTAAAAGTGTTTTGGGTCTTTGGGAGTTTGGTGGTGTTTGTGTGACCTGTATTATGCCACTGGAACTTAATTCTTGTTTTTATCAAGTAGCCTACGGTATACTTGGTTTAGTTATACACTGTTTTCCTTAAAGTCACAGTTTCCAAGAACCTATCTAGATATTAAGGGAGGACTTACTGTATAAGAAACAGAAGGTTGTACGTAGAAGTGGAAGAAGCCCTGGTTATTGCTATGACCATCCATACGAGTAGCTAGAAGAAAAAGGGCCAAGGATGAAACACCAACACTGAAGAGGAAAGGAGATGATTGTATAGATTTCAGTTGGCAACATATTATAATGAATGAATTTCAGTACGGAAATAGAGAAGAGAAAGGTAAACACATGGATAATTAGGAGGAGAAAATCTGTCACAAAATTGAGGATGAACAGTTCCCCAAGGACACACATATAATAAAGTGTAGAGGTATAATAAAACCCAGGCAGTTTAACTCCAAAGACAGAGCTCTTAACCACTTCAGTACTATCACTCTTAAAAAGAGGATAGAGAAGTTACTCAAACAAGGTCCCAGGAGAGATAGAAAGAGGTGCATTTAGAGTATAATTACAAAGATTATCTAAGAAGGAAATAAATAAGGATGGTATAAAGTTTTAGATTGGTAGCTGCAAGTTGAGGGACTTACTTCTCAGTCTCCTTCTCAATATCATTTTCCTAGACATCCCTGAATATAAAAATTGCCTTCTTGGATTCGTTTCACATGGTTTCAAGGGCAAAAAGAACCTCTGGGTATAGTCGACCTTTACATGAGTGAGATTTTACTTCTGCCCAAGGTTAGTCTGGGTAGTTAAATCTCTTATAAGAAACTTATCAGAAAGTTTAGGTTGATGACACCCAAACCTGACCTCAAATCTCTTATTGCCAATGCGTTAGTTTAAGAACCTAACGAACTGTAGAAAATAAGTCAGATTTCTACATAAAAACACGGGAATATGTTCAACTTACACCATTAAAGTGAAAAACATGACATTTTGATTCTATTTCTGAAAATAATAGATACGACGTCTAGCATGGAAAACATCTGGAATAATATACTTCAATCTATTAACAGGGGTCATCTCTGGGGGATGTGGTTACAGGCATCTTTCACGCTGTAATTTAAATTTTTATGACCATGTAGTAAACGTGGAAAAAAAGATTTTGATCCTGTTAGAAGCAGATAATCCTCTGCTTGACTGAGTTTCTTAAGAGCGGGTCATATTCACTGATACATATCCATAGCAAATAGCTGGGTTCCCTAAGGTTCTACAACAAACAGATGAATTAGTCAATAAGTATCAGTTTTGATCATCTCAAATAATTGTTGAGAAGAAACATATACACACAAGTGCATGCATTTTCCAGTTAACGCTCAATGTAGATATCAGCTGCAAAGGGCCTTGGAAGGCAGTTATTTCAACGTCGCTACCTACGTTTCGATTTTAAAACCTCGTTTATGATTAAAAGAGCACAGCTTTCCTCAGTAGCCCCCGTTAACATTAATTTACCCTTGCCTTGAGAACTCAGAAGCTGAGTTGGAGTCGGCCCTGGTAGGAGGTGGCGTGTGGGAGATGAATTCCGCCAGCCGCGAGCAGCGGTTGGGACCGTTAACTCACCATTTCTCAGGACGCCAAGCTGGGGTTGGCGGAGCACCGAATTGAAGAGCATCAGGGCCGGAGGAAAAGTCTCAGCTGAAAGAAAAGTCGCAGAAATGCCTCTAAGTCCAGCAGAAATCGCAGCTTTCGCCTCTCAAAACACGACTCGTTATCGCCTCCAACTCCCGCCACTGTAAGAAGCCCCGGCCGCCAAACTCCGCGCCAAACTGACGTCACGCTCTTTGATTGGCTTCCGAGCGGCGTCGGGGCGCCTTAGAGTCACTTCCCCCTTCGGATCCCCGCCTCCTTTTCTCCCAGCCGCGGGAACCAGGAGTCCAGGAGCTCCGTGAGCGCCTGCGCAGAGGGCAGCAGCGGCACCGGCGAACCGCGGGGTGACCAGGGCGCATGCGTAACAGGGCTTGACAGCGCGCGGAGGAAAAACCAGCAAGAAGGCGGCGGGAGAAGATGGCGGTCCTGGGGCTGAATTTGCAATCTTTCTGACTAGGCTAGTCGAGTAACTGTTCGGGTCATGGCATCAAACTCAACTAAGTCTTTCCTGGCAGACGCCGGCTATGGCGAACAGGAACTGGATGCCAACTCTGCCCTTATGGAATTGGACAAAGGTATTCGAAAGAGCGGGCTGAGTGGTGAAACGGCATGGGGGAAGGTGGCGCCACCAGGTGGTGGTAGTCTTGCGAGAGGCCGGGAAAGCGCATGCGCATTTCCTCGCTGGGCGGAGAGTGCTTTTGCTGGGGCGTGGGCTTTGACCCCTTCGGGATGTTGCAGGAAATTTGCAGGATTGTCTGATAGGCCTCACACCGGCTAACCCAGTAGCGAACTCTAGTGAGGAGCCTGTTTTGACCAGTTGAGAGAACAGTCCTCGATTTTCTTTTCTTTTTTTCTTATTTGAGATGGAGTCTCGCTCTGTAGCCCAGGCTGGAGTGCAGTGGCGCGATCTCGGCCCACTGCAACCTCCTCCCTGGTCCCGGATCAAGCAGTTCTCCTACCTTAGTCTTCCGAGTAGCTGGGATTACAGGCACGAGCCACTGTGCCTAGCTAATTTTTGTATTTTTTAGTAGAGATGGGGTTTCACCATGTTGGCCAGTCTGGTCTTGAACTCCTGACCTCGTGATCCGCCCGCCTCGGCCTCCCAAAGTCCCCCGATTTTCTAAGTAGTGACAGTGGCTAGGGTCTAAGAAACACTACAAAGATATTGTGAAGTTGGTTTTCAGTCTGTTCGGTTGATATCAGGTCTTCATCAAATGTGCTGAATAGTAATCTTGCACCAACTTTACAGTGATTCATTTGATTACCGTAGTCCTGGTACCTGCGGTTTACAAGGCAGACTAAATATGGCCAAGATCATACAGAAAGTAAGGTCCCTGCTCATTCTCTGCAGACAAGTTCCAGGGGTTCTGTTTCCTTACAGGGAGCAGCTTGGTGTAGAAGGAGCTTTCGGGTTACACTGAGTTCAATTTCAGTGGCGCTAATTTTATGATTAACTTCATGTTGCCTCGGTTTATTGTCTGCAAAGTGGGTACAGTACCATTGAGCTGGCAGAATTGTTCTATTAATTGACTTAATGGTATGCCAAAGAAGCATTTAGTAAATACGGAAGAGATACACCTTCCTTCTTTGATACGGATGTGGGAGGCAAGGTCAGAAACTTGTCAGTGAAGAACTGGAGTAGTAGTATGAAACCTTTGTTTCCTATTAAGGATTTTTATTGTACGCGAACCGTTTTGGCAGCTGGTATACAATTAAATCTTGATTAACCATAGCCAGTGTATCATGTTAGAGAATTGGACTAGAACTCAGAAGGATGTGTCTTTAATTCCCCTTTGAGCCACTAACCAGTTTTCTGAGTTGGACATGTCTATTCACTTTTTGAGACTCTTTTTCTGTTTGTTTTCTTTTTTAAACTGTAAACATTTTTAGTGGTTTAGTTTAAATAAGAATTTCTCGGGCTCTTAAAAAACCTTTTACCTCCTTTTGATAAACACAAAAATGTCACAGCGCACTAATGGAATATTCTCTTGGTTGAGTTTCCATGTCTTTAGTGCACCCTTATCAACCAAGAAAATGATACTGAGCTTTTCTTCCTCTTACCAAATCCATAGGGTTTTTCTCCTCTGAAAAATAAAATTGTAATATTAAATGTGTTTTTCAAACACTCTTCATTCTGATACATTTCTTTCTTATTCCTCAGAGAAAATTACAGATCAGGATAACATCTAATATCCCTGCCAGTTCTAAGGACATTTTCTGCCATTCTGGTCCAGCTGAGCTTATCCCATGCTGACAGTGGTATAGTGGTTGTGGAACAGGGATCAGATAGGGCACTGAAGAGGAGTTTAGAATTGTTCAAGCCCTAGAATTTTGCAGTTGTAATAAAAAGACCACAATTTTTTCTTTTAAAAGAAAAGTTGAAATGAAAATATTTTATATCTGTAAGAAAGATAGCAAGTGTCAATCCTAGGCACAAAGTAAGTGATCATTTTCACTCCTCCCAGCAATGCCCTGCTTGAGTATTTTACAAATGAATCTCAGGCTCAGAAAGAAAACTTGTTCTTTTTCACCTCATGATACAGTACCTTTTAAAGCTGTTAGGAAATTAAGTTATAGCCACTTTCATTTAGAATATAGTCAAGTATTTTAAATATCGAGTCGTTTCATCTTTTACCTGTTAAAGTATTTCTGTTTTGTGAGCTAAAGGTCAGAAGGCTCCAAGTTCCAACTCTTTTCATTCCCAAACTCCAAGAAATACTGTTTCTGAAATATCTCCCCCACCTCTGCACACACACTCAGATACATGGCTTTGTACTAGAAACATGGTAGTTTAATGAAACAAAACAAAGCTCCTGCCCTTATAGAGCTTGCATTCTAGACAGCAGGCACAGACCCTCAGCAAATACAGCAAACATGTGATAGTTAGTGATACATATTATAAAGGGAAATGAAGCAATGAAGGGTGCTGGAGAAAAGTGATCGGGGGCTGGAGTTGATTTCTTATGTTATGAAGGATAGTCAAGAAAGGCCTTCTCAATCAAGTGGAGGAACAGCAAGTGCAAAGACCCTGAGGTGGAAACCCGCTTTGCATGCTGTTATCTGGAGCAAAGTAATAGGCAATGAGTATAGAAAGATAACCAGAGTCCAGTTCAAGTAGGGCCGTGCAAGCCATCAGAAAGACTTGACTTTCATTCTGAGTGAGATAGGAGACCATGGAAGATTTTCAGCAGGTGTGTAAGATGATATGACCCCTTTGAAAAGGATCAGTCTGGCTACTGTGTTGAGAATAGACTGAAGTGGGGAGGGCCCGGGACCGAAGTAGGGAGGCCAATGAGAATGCAACTATAGCAATCCAGGGAAAAGAAAATAGTGACTTGGACCAGGGTGGTGACACTGAAAGTGTGTCAAGTGCTGAGATTCTCGATACATTTTCAAGGTAGAGCCAATAAGATTTGCTAATGAATTAGATGAGGATGTAAGAATAAGTGGCCAAGAAAACTTAAGAGGTTTTTGGTCTGAGCTACTGGAAGGGTGTATGTATTGCTGTTTACTGAAATCAAATCAGTTTGGACATGTTAAATTTGAGATGTCTCTTAGACATCCAAATGGAGATGCGTAGGCAGTTATGCATAAGATGTAACCTTCAAACTCTATTTTAAAGAAATATTTTGTGGCACTGGTGTCCTTAGAAACACACTTGGAAAATGCTGCCATCCATAACCTGTTATATATTTATAACCTATTATACTTCATTCTGAGTCTGTTGAGCAAGCACTGGCAGTAAGTTGATTGTTTCTGATCTCTATAGGAATAAGTGAACACTATTTTGAAGCTGACTCAATTCTATTACTTCTGGATGTACTTAGTAACAGGAAAATAATCATTTATGGGATAGCCATTCATTTACTCAACAAATATTTACTGACTACCTGCATTGTGTTAGGCTCTGTTCTCAGACTAGGGGCTATATTGGCAAACAAGACATCTTTAAGGAGCTTGCATACAAATGTAAGGAGATAGACTATGCTAGATCAAATGTGGTGCTGTTAATCAGGACAAGAAGTTGAATTTTATGCAGAGTGCAATGGGAAGACATTGAAAGTTGTAGGCTGATGGCCATGCTAAGTGAGCTTCTGTAAGGCTGAGCATACGTAAGCAGAGTTAAGTGTCATAATCAGATACATTACAGCTTATGTTTATCTGACACATTTCATGATATAATCATTACACACAATTGGCAATATAAAGGATGCATCTCACAAAAATTAGTATAACTTTTTCACCAATATAACTTCTTAGTCTTAACATTTTTAGATGAGCTGATGGGAGGTTATCCTGATGATTTGGGAAAACTTACGCAAGATCTCCTTCCCCTCTGGGAAAAGAGGAGTCTCTAAATGACATTGTTTAGCCTATCGGCTTTCTGCAGTGTTGACCTTGGAAAGGATGAGGTAAAAGCAATGGGGAAGAGAGAGGTGATTCTCATGCCCTTTCTTGAAGCTGGTGCAATGGGAAGGGGGGAAATGTAGAGGGTAGAGTGGCTGCTGGAGATGCTGGTGAATGTAATGTTATGTGAAAAGCTCGGTGGTATGCTTAATGAAAAATTTAGTTATGAAATAGAGAACCAATGTGAATGAGGACAACTATCTCTACACTTGAATTTTCCCCTTAGACACTGTCACCTCACCTGTATTCCAAAATACCTGAATTCTCAGACCATCAAAAAAGATCGTCAAAAAAGACCACAGATTGCTTTTACATTATCGATATGGCTCAGATGCTGTTGGTATTGCAATGAACAAACATGAGGCCTTTGGGGAAGTATCTTCATAGCCCCTCCTGAAGAGAAAGGCCTAAGCAGCCTGATTTATTCCAGGTTACTAATTCCATGCCGTAACTGACGGATTCAGAAGTAGTCATGTGACCCACACTAAGTCAAATTATTTCTCCTGAGAATCTCTGCTGCCAGAGCACACTTAGTCTCAGAGTGTTGAGAAGTGGACCTAAATCATGTAGAATTAGGCTGGGCCTGCTGGCTCACACCTAGAACTTTGGGAGGCTGAGGCGGGCGAATCACCCAAGGTCAGGATTTTGGGACCAGCCTGGCCAACCTGGTGAAACCCCATCTCTGCTAAAAATAGAAAAATTAGCCGAGTGTGGTGGCAGGCACTTGTAATCCTAGCTACTTGGGAGGCTGAGACAGGAGGTCAGTTGAAACCGGGAAGTAGAGGTTTCAGTGAGCCTAGATCGCGCCATTGCACTCCAGCCTGGGCATCAAAAGGTGAAACTCCGTCTCAAAAAAAAAAAAGTCATGTAGAATTCAGGCTAAGGTGAGACACTGGGCAACTTAATAATGCCACATTAAAAGCCAGCAGCCTGGTTGGTAATTCCCTGATGGGCTATGAACTAATCCAAAAATTCAAGGGCCTTCTTCAACTTTTACTGAAACCCACAGACTCATTCTTTATATAACTAAGATCTACTGTCTTGGAATTTGCAAAGTGAGTTATTAAATATTCCTAGAAGTTGGTATTCATAAACTCAAATTTGTTTAAGATTATAAATTAGTATTCTCACTTGTACATGCTGGATAACATTGCATACATCTCACCAT